TGCGTGCGCTTGTGTGTGTGTGTGTCAGTGCGTTTGCGTGCATGTGTCAGTGCGTGTGTGTGCATTTGTCAGTGCGTGTGTGCGTAGGTGCGTGTGTGTGCATTTGTCAGTGCGTGTGTGCGCTTGTGCGTGTGTGTGTCAGTGCGTTTGCGTGCATGCGTCAGTGCGTGTGTGTCAGTATGTGCGTCTGTGTGCATGTGTGCATGTGTGCAAGTGCGTGTGTGTGCTGTCTGTCAGTGTGTTGTGCGTGCGTCTGTGTGCGTGTGCCAGTGCGCGTGTGCGTGTATGCGTGTGCGAACAGACGGGTGCCACCTGTGCTTAAAGAGCTCCTGAGTGAGAAGTTTTGAGGCGGGATGGCGATGGCGGTGGCGACGGCACACTGCTTAGCCGCGTGATTCCGACAGCGAGGACGGGGAGATGTTCTCCCTAGAAGGGAGAGGCGAAAGGAGGTGGATTATTTTTTTTCCAGAGTCATAGTTTGTTCTGGAGAACGATGCGGGGGCGGTGGTGTGGGGCGGTGGGGGCGATCGATGATCGAGTTATCTTGCCCAGTGCTCTCAGAAATCTCGGTGGCCGTGCCAACGGTGCGCTGTGACCCACGCCGGTAAACAGCGTCACCCGGTCGCTCGTTTAATGTTGGTTTTTTCACCCCCCCCCCCACCCACCCCCCTCTCTCGTCCCGCGTCCTTGTAAAATCAAACTCCCGGGTCCGGTTTTATCGCTCTCTTTGATGATAATGCCCTCGTGGCCCGCGCCGGCCGTATGGAGCTGAACCAGCAAACCCTGAACTGCTGTCGCGGTCGTTAGTTCGTTCGCAACGCGGCAGCAAAACGTCGTTATCGTGGGGAAATTATTTTTTTGCCAGTACTCAAAGCATGAAAAATAGGAATAGGTTTTTCCCCTGTCTGGCTAATGAAACAGGAGGTGTTCAGATGTTCAAACACCAAATAGAAACCTTTTGCAAGGAAACAAGTCTGCATTAACCACCCACGGTACAAGTGGTGAACTTGCAAACAAACGTGCTCTAATAATATATGCATCTACGCGTCATTATCGTCACCATCAGCATCGGCATTCATTATCGGCATCAGTCACGGTCTAGCCACCGCTGGATGAATGTCATCTCGAGCCGTCGCCCATCTACCACGGTCTCACGATGCAACCAATCCAGCTCGCGGCCTGCACCAACAGCCGATTTCATCGCTCTAACTCCGCTGGGGTTTGGGGGAGGGCTGGCATCGCTCTCGAACGCGTTGGTTCCCTTGGCTGCCCCTCCGCCGTTAACCTCGGCCACCATCGTCCCTTTCTAGCGAAGTGTTCCGCCCATTTGAGGCCCAGGGAGGCCCAGGACCAGTTCAGACCAACATCACTGGTGATGGCCATGAGTGGGAATTAATCTCGGGTCGCCGGCTTCGAAGTGCAGCCTGGTAACCGCGACACTACAGCCCCGACGCAGCCTTTAACACCTCGTAAGCATGGCGGTTGCTCGTTAAAGCACAACACAGGATCAAACATGCTTAGCTTCCAAAGTGGGATATGAACGTGTGCCCGGCGGTGGCGAGTTGTCCGCTTGCTGTCGACGCTCACGAATCGAATCCAGCAGCCGCCCTAGTTGACACTGCGACGGTGTGCTAACTGTAAAAATTCCACGACAATATACCCACCGGATTGAAGATTATGGTAAATACTCTTTGGTTCTTTCGGTAAAGTCACGTAGGTAATAAAAAATTAAATGAAGTTAATCAAATCACGACGTTTCGGAAGCAACACAAGCTTCCGTCATCAGGTGGGATAGTCACAGCAAGAAGTAATTTGCTGTGACTATCCCACCTGATCACGGACGCTTGTGTTGCTTCCGAAACGTCGTGATTTGATTAGCTTTATTTTATTTATTTTACCCACGTGACTTTACCGAAAGAACCAAAGAGTATGAATCATTGCAGTCACGAAAACTTCAAATCTAGAATTATGGTAAATGTCGCGTGACGGTTTTTCAGAAGTGGTCCTGTGGCATTGCTTCCACTGGCCATTCTCGAACACAAGACTACGCGACGATTACTATTTTCCAGGAGTATAATGGGGATGAGTCACTAATAGCGTTTATCAAGCAAGCCTGGCTTTTACATTATGAGACCTCCTTTGCCAGTAACAAGATATAGTAATAGGTTTTACCCTTTTAACTGGCACAAAAACTGACACCTTTATTCAAGGCATCATGTTTGCAATAACCACAACACAAGCAGTCAAAATGCAAACAAAAGAGACAACTCTGATAATAATATGCACTGTCCTTGAATTTGATTGGTCCACACCCGAGACAGCTTTTCTTAGAGCCTAGTCTCCACTGGTGTTGGACCAGAAGACGCCAAAAGGTGTACGCCTTGAATAAAGGTGTCAGTTTTTGTGCCAGTTAAAAGGGTAAAACCTATTACTATAAGCCTGGCTTTGCTGATGAGACACTGAGCATTTGAAACGGTCCAGTGTATTGCTTGCGTTGAAGCAGTGCTGCTGAAGTTATGCACTCCCAGACGGCCGTGTGGTCGATAGGGAGTGTGTTTTTACGCGGGAGATACAGATACATGAAGGGTAATCGTGTGAATGATGTTCAAAGTGCGGATTTAAGGTCAATCGAAGGTTCAGTGTCGTCATAGTTTTCTTCAAGGGACTGTTTCGTAGCTCAGGGTGGTGCACCGCTTGCTGTAAGATTCTCCGAAGTGAGATGTCTTCGTCTCACGACGTGACGCCCGTAGGTAGGCACGCTCGCGAGAAATTAGTGCGATAAATATTTACGGGAACTGTATGAAAAATGAGAATACGTTTTACCCTTTCTGGCAATGAAACCACACGTACATGCAAACAGACACGCTCCGATAATATGTGTATTGTCTTCGAAACTGATTTTCCTACACCAGAGATGGCCTTCTTTTATCACCGCCGGTGTGAGACCAGAGAATGGCTGAATGGCGAACAGTACAAAGACAATTGAGAGAAATGTAAATAAAAGTGGAGAAAAAAAAATGTCTGTACATTTTTAAAGAGGAACTGAAAGTTGAAAGTCTTTTGCACGGGAGCCCACGGAGCGAGCCGGTCGTCGTGACACGCTCGCAACGCGTTGCGTGACACGCTCGCAACGCGTCATGTAAATAAAAAGGGGAAATAAAAAACGCTTTACGTTTTGAAAGAGGAACTGAAACTCGCACTCGGCGTCTTTTGCACGGGAGCCCACGGACGCAACGCACGCAACGCGTCGTGGCATGCACGCAACGCGTCGTTACAGGCACTCAAGGCGTCGTTACACGCACGCAAGGCGTAGTTACAGGCACGCAAGGCATCGTTACACACACTGAAGGCGTCGTTACACACACTGAAGGCGTCGTTACACACACACAACGCGTCGTTACAGGCACTGAAGGCGTCGTTACAGGCACACAAGGCGTCGTTACAGGCACGCATCGCGTCGTTATACACACGCAACTCGTCGTTACAGCCACTCAAAGCGTCGTTACACACACACACAAGGCGTCGTTACAGGCACTCAAAGCGTCGATGCTTTTGTCGTGACACGCACGCAGAAATGTTCTTGAGGCCGAAGGGACTTGAAGATCAAAACCCCAATTGGACTTCCCAGACAGCCTTCGCCAGAGAGTTCCACGTGTGAGACAAGTGTCAAGGAGGGGCTCGGATTACCCACCGCGGTCGCCCGCTCCTCTTATGAACAGAACCCTGAACTGAGGCATCATTCCCGTGATTGAACCATTTCATTCGAAATCTAACACGTGGCTCAACGGTTGGACCGGCGGCAACGGAATCCCGGGTCCTCCGGGGTTGACCCGTGCCCATCGTCACCATAATCATCCCTTAGGAGAACAATCCACGCGACCACCATGGGGAGAGAGAGAGAGAGAGATTGAACACACGAATTCCAAATATGAAACGGGCATTGCCAGGTGTGGGAACGAACGCCCGACCTCATGCACAGCAGGCGAGGGGAGATAACAGCGCCACAATAACTCTCGTAAAGTTGGTCCAATTCGATGGAAACTTGTGTATGAAGTTGCGTTGCTCTAAGGGATATACCCGAGCGGAAAACGAGACGCCGAATTGATGAACGCCTTGCTGATTGGTCTCGTCAAGGAGCATAAACCATCACACGAACTCCGGTCATCCTCGCAGCAGCGGCGGCGGCTTTTTGTCGAGCCATTGAACAAAGGGCGGTGGCTGCATCGCGCGGCGTTTTCAGACGCGTTTCTGCCGTCGTCTGTAAAAAACGCTCTTCCTTCCGATATTGCTGGCAAGGAAAAGACGGCGCGGAAAGCCTTCCAAGTTAGTAAGCGATAAATTATCTCGGAAACAACTAGCAGGGAGTTGGTGGAAAACCTCCTCAAGGCATAACAAAAGCCTTGGTTGCAACATGTCGCTAAAGATAAAAACATTTTTGCACTCTCAATCTAGATTTTTTTTGTTTGTCACCGAACTGCGGAGCAGTGAGCGACGAGCATGGCGAGCGATGTCACCAGGACATTGCGACAATGGGGAAACGCTCTCAGGGCTAATGGAGCCCCATCAGTGCTTGCAGACTATGGCTGGACAGTGACAAGAGATGTTCCATTTAATGAATACAAGAGACAAGCCAAGAAGCGCCAAGTAGACACTGAATAAGGAATAAACTGTGTACTTATATATGCATAATAGTTTTTGCATTTTGTTTCATAATACCTTTTATTAATATGACCATTTTTGCTGTTATGAACAGGACAGGTCACATGAAAAGACCTAGGTTTACAATTTGAGTACAACTCTACTGTCTACACAATATACGTAGATGCACAATGTAAACACTTTAATATCTTGGGACCAGTAGCCAATCGGTTGTTTTAATTGTCATATTCGAATTCAGTAGATCAAAATCCATAATAAACAGCACATTTCATCTCTGAAGCTGACGACGTCTAAAAAATTGTAGACCAGTGTTATGCAGAAGCCACTGGAGCTATGCACTTTTAAATCAAATTTGTGATTACTTGTCCGATTAGCACGGTTGGCTACGTACGGTGTGAAAGAAGTTCAACACACAAAGGACTTCACACACCTTCACAACACAAACCAGCGCGAAGAGGACAATTAGCAAACACTCAAACCGTGTTTTTTTTTCCCTGACAGCCACCGAAATCGATGATCTCGCCCTACTGCAATCGAGAGGTTTCCGTGAAATGAGTGCACGTTTGGCAACACGTTACGGAATATGCTTGTGCACAAGACTCTTCTTCCTCGTCCCTTGTTAATGGGGGGGTTTTTTTGTTGTTGTCATACTGCGTGGGAGGAAGCCGGAGGGATTGCCTGGAGAGACAACCCACACACGCTTGTAAGAGGCGAGAAGAAGAAGAATGGTGAGGATAATCTGTGCGTAATTGCGCTCCGCGTTTGAGACAAATTTCCGAGCGCGTTATTGAATGACAACAAATTACAGTGTAGTGATGTGCGCAGAGGCGTACAGTGCGCAAACAGAGCAAAACGGAGCCCTCCCAAAGATAAAATAAGAGACGTTCTACAGAATCCGGCGTGGAAATCAACCCCGAGTCGCAAGCTGCGTTGTCGCAGCGTGGGAGGGGGCCACTGGGTGGCACAGAGGTCGGTGACTCAGAGGTCTGAGGTAGAAGACTGACGTCTGAGGTCGGAGACTCTGAGGTCGGAGACTCTTGAGGTCGAAGACTCAGGGGTCTGAGACTCTGAGGTCGAAGACTCAGAGGTCAGAGACTCCGAGCTCGGAGACTCTGAGGTCGGAGACTCCGAGCTCGGAGACTCAGAGGTCGGAGACTCCGAGGTCGGAGACTCCGAGGTCGGAGACTCAGAGGTCGGAGACTCAGAGGTCTGAGGTAGAAGACTGACGTCTGAGGTCTGAGACTCAGAGGTCTGAGACTCTGAGGTCGGAGACTCCGAGGTCGGAGACTCCGAGGTCGGAGACTCAGAGGTCGGAGACTCAGAGGTCGGAGACTCCAAGGTCGGAGACTCCAAGATCGGAGACTCAGAGGTCGGAGACTCAGAGGTCGGAGACTCAGAGGTCGGAGACTCAGAGGTCGGAGACTCCGAGGTCGGAGACTCCGAGGTCGGAGACTCCGAGGTCGGTGACTCAGAGGTCTGAGGTAGAAGACTGACGTCTGAGGTCGGAGACTCCGAGGTCGGAGACTCAGAGGTCGGAGACTCAGAGGTCGGAGACTCCGAGGTCGGAGACTCCGAGGTCGGTGACTCAGAGGTCTGAGGTAGAAGACTGACGTCTGAGGTCGGAGACTCCGAGGTCGGAGACTCCGAGGTCGGAGACTCCGAGGTCGGAGACTCAGAGGTCGGAGACTCAGAGGTCGGAGACTCAGAGGTCGGAGACTCCGAGGTCGGAGACTCAGAGGTCGGAGACTCAGAGGCCGGAGACTCAGAGGCCGGAGACTCAGAGGCCGGAGACTCAGAGGTCGGAGACTCCGAGGTCGGAGACTCCGAGGTCGGAGACTCAGAGGTCGGAGACTCAGAGGTCGGAGACTCCGAGGTCGGAGACTCCGAGGTCGGAGACTCAGAGGCCGGAGACTCAGAGGCCGGAGACTCAGAGGCCGGAGACTCAGAGGTCGGAGACTCCGAGGTCGGAGACTCCGAGGTCGGAGACTCCGAGGTCGGAGACTCCGAGGTCGGAGACTCAGAGGCCGGAGACTCCGAGGCCGGAGACTCAGAGGCCGGAGACTCAGAGGCCGGAGACTCCGAGCCGGCACCACTGAGATTTTGAGTTTGAATGCAGATCACAGCCGCCGTACGTGATTTAAATCCAGGTTCGAAAGTGTAGTGTGAGGTGATAACCGGTGCCTGCAAAGACACAAAGAAATATCGCATAAAATTTGGTTCTGCACATCATTTGGCTAAATTTGCTCGCTTCCCCCATCTTGCCCTGTGCGTTCTCAATCCCAGCTGCTGTTTCTCTGCCTCTGTTCCCCCCTCTCCTCCTCCGTGTTCCCCAATCACCATTCCGTCCTTTCTCGCATCTGGCCCCCTTATACCGGAACAAACTGCCCCTACGTGTCAACCAATCAGCCTCACCATTTATTCACCGCTCTTCGCCTCTGACACACGCTCACTGATTTCCCCTCGCTTAACCAAACTCCCCCCCCCCCCGTCCTCCCTTCCCCATCATTAACACCACCGTTCCACTTTCCCAAATTCCCCTTCCTATTCATCGCACTCGCTCGTCATTAACCACTTCACTTTCATCAGCTTTTACTTCACCCATCGTCGTCGTATCCGTCACGTACCACCCGTCCGTCTCGCACTCCTATTCCGCCGCACGAGAGACTAATTCCTTGTTCAGCGCCTTGGTCAAAGGCGCTGCATAAATTAGAATGAGACGAGATAAGAAGACAGGATGCATTTCAGCGCTGAGAACGAAAGACGTTGAATTTTGACGGTGGTCGTGCTTGCGACCCGATGTCTCTCTCCTGCGGTGGCGGAGCGTGCGGCGAAGTGCTGCCCTCTGCTGCGTGTGTGTGTCGGAGGTCGCAGAGGCTCGGCAGTCCCTCGGGTTGGCAGTGTTGACCATCATCGTCGCACGATTTTTGCGGTCAACGTTTCACCTCTCGTTGGAACGACGCCCTGTGGTTTCGACTTAACGTTCACATTCCGATTGACGGTAACGCCGTGTTTACGTCATGTACGCGGGGCGCCAATTTCGGCCAACCCGAGCACTCGTAAGTGGGGCTGAGCCATGCCCTACGACCAATCGGCGATGCCGATTCACGAGAGTTTCAATCTCCACTGGCTTTGTTTGCATTACCACCGTGTCTGTTTTGGCAGTGGAAACAGCTTTCTTGCAGACTCGGTGACATTTTTTTGAACGTATTTTTCACACGTGAATTCGATTGAAGTAATATCCACGAGACAGCAGTTTTCGTGCAATGGATTAAAAACGTTAACCAAGGGACTGCTGCAGCTCTACAATGTCTACTTCCACGGGCCGTTCTGCAAGAAATCCCAATTATGAACCTCCCCCCGCCCCCTCATCCCCCTCAACCCCCTCAACTCCTTCTTCCCCGCAAGCTATGCGGAGTCTTTCCATTTCGTCTGGAACTCTGTTTAAAAATTACTTGGAATTTTTTCGTGATGGCCCCGAGGGGGGGTGGGGGGGAGGGGCTGCCGGGGGAAGGAGGAGGGGGGGGGCACGATACGTTTGCACACGGCCCTGTTCCTGTTGTACTGCCACCTCTTTAAATAGTAATACCTCAATTAAATTATCCCGTTAATATTTAATAACCGCACAGTGGCCTATGGCCTATAATTGCACGTCACCCAAATAATGCATTGAAGCCGTGGACAGTTGTGGTGAAGATAAATCGAGCGTTTTCCTGTCTCTAAGTGATATTATCTCACTCTCGCTATTGACTGTGTATCGGTACGTCATTATGTTACCGTACGTAATTGTTTGTGTGATGTGTTGTGTTGTCATGTGATGTTGTTATTTCAGGAATGTTTTATGCGCGTTGGACCCTTGTCGCTGTCCGGTGTGTTTAGTTAATTAACGCGATAAATATATCAGCTGCGCGGTCGTGGTATTTGAAGTTTATTTTTGTGTGTTGGCTATCCCATACGCTCGTCCCGTATGTTTGCCGCAAAAAAAAGTAAATATACAGTCATACCTCGGTATACGACCGCTTTGGAATACGTCGAATTTGGTACACGTCGTGTTTTGACGAGAAAAAAATGTCTTGGGGTACGACGTCTTGCTTGGGGTACGACGTCTTGCTTGGGGTACGACGTCTTGCTTGGGGTACGACGTCTTGCTAGAACTTGTATGGGTCGGGTCGAGTCACCGCGTGCCCGCGTAGACCCCGTTCACGACTGAAACAAAGCGCCGCTCCTCGGTCTGCCTGTAGATCTCGTTCAGTGCACAACCCTTGCTATTTTTTTAATGTATGCCTTTTAGTAATTAGTAGTGTCTACATTATATTCTACAACCACATGAATGTATAATATGCCATATAAAATATAATTTCTTATACTCTGGAACGGATTATTTCCTTTCCCTTTATTTCTTATTGGAAAAATTCGTTTGGTATATTCATCATTTTCGGTATAAGTCCTCCCCCTTCTGGAACGAATTAACGACGTATACCGAGGTACCACTGTATATGAACGGGCCTCATCGTATTCGTCTCCCGTCGTGGCAATGTGGAATTCCCGTGAAAACTTGAACCCGGGAGCACCAACGGAGGTGGTACCTCCGCCGCCCCCTCCCGTCACCCGCACTCGCTCGCCGTTATTTTGTCGTGTGCTCGTTGCCGACAAATCTTCTCTGCGGTTATCCTGTCCTCCCTCGTACCCCCCCCCAAACCTCCTTGCCGCCGACGCCCCTACCCCGGGATCTTGTGGCCTCTCACCAAGGCGTTTATGCGCCATCGAGACGACGGACCGCCAATGGCTGCGCGACGGCACACAGAACGTGGGGTCGCTGTTTTAAAGGTCCATAACGCAGGTTTTTTTTTTAGGTTAGATTGTGTAAATATAAATGTGTCGTTAAACCCGCCACCACCCAATACAGCCAATTAGGGTTTGTCACGTAAACAGAACACAATACAGGTTTTTTTGGGGTAGATCGTGTCAATGTAAATGGTCGTTAAACCCGTCACTACCCGACACAGCCAATTAATAAGGTTTGTCAAGTAAACAGAACGTGCACACACACAAACACGCATGAAAATAACAGATCCATTTGAAAAGCAAGACAAAAAAACATGATTTGGTCAATTCTAAACCCGGCCGTTCAATGGAGGCTTTACCCCCTCTTCAAGAGTACCAAGTGCCGGTGCGCCAGGCAACAGTTGCCGTGGCGACGCTTACGATGCTACTGCTGTGCCTGAGCAGTCCCTGGCTTTTTACAGCTCTCCCGCTCTCCCTCCCGCTCTCTCTTCTCGCTCGCTGTCCCGGTCCCTCCCTCCCTTGCCCTCGCTCGCTCTCCCTCCCCTTTTCTCTGTTGTCCACTCTCCCACGTGCTCCCGATTGGCCCAAGATCAACGCTTGCTCGCTCCATCCGCTTGGTCGCTCCTCCCCACCGCCCTCGTGTGTCTGTCGAGAAGAAGGGCAGTGCCACTTTGCCCGTCCTCAAGCGACGTTGCAGTCGCCCTCGTCGGTGCTCTCATCATCGCCGTGATTTTCACCGCTCCTTTCGTCCTCGACGTCAGTGTAATTTGGGTTATTGTTGTCGATGCTCCCCAAATCATCGCCATCGCTGTTACTTGTATTATTGTCTCTGTGGGACCATTTTAATTAATGCTTTGATATTTGTGCGTTGTGCTGTTCCCCTTTTGGCGTTGTTCTCTGGTCCACCACCAGTGGTAAGACAAGGCCATAGAAGGAGTCTCTGGTGTCGGCCAATCAAGTTTCAATGACAGTGCATACATTTCATTCTTGGTTCTTTCTGAAAAGTTCTGTAGAAGGGAAACAACAAAATAATAAAAATATAAAACACACATTATCAAAGCGTGTTTGTTTGCGTGTTTTACCACAAGCATGTGTGGTTAATGCCGACTTTATGCCTCCCCAATAGGTATCTATTTGGTGTTTAAACACCGTCTTATTGCCGGAGAAGGGTAAAGCCTATTACTGGCAGGAAACGTAGTGGACTGGAAGCCCAACCGGGATTAATTCACAGGAGGCAGGGGATTAATTGTGTATGTCTGTGGATGTCTGTCCACGTGGGAGGGGTAGGGCTGGGTGGAGAGGGGAGGGTAGGGAGGGGCTGGGTGGAGAGGCGCTGGGTGGGGAGGGTGGGGAGGGGCTGGGTGGGGAGGGTGGGGCTGCGTGGGGGGTAGTAGGGGTGGGGTGGGGCTGGGTGGGGAGGGGCTGGTCACCCCGTGGTACCTTTATATGGACTGGAAGCCCAACCGGGATTATCACAGGAGGCAGGGGATTAATTGTGGATGTCTGTGGATGTCTGTCCACGTGTATCCGGACACCCGGATATATAAAAACATCGCCACCTAGCGCCCATTTATACTGGTACTGGTAGGAAACGTAGTGGACTGGAAGCCCAACCGGGATTAATTCTCACACGAGACAGGGGATTAATTGTGTATGTCTGTTGATGTCTGTCCACGTGTATTCGGACACTCGGATATAAAAAAAATGGGAGGGGTGGGACTGGGTGGAGAGGGGAGGGTGGGGAGGGGCTGGGTGGGGAGGGGAGGGCTGGGTGGGGAGGGGAGGGTGGGGGAGGGGCTGGGTGGGGAGGGTGGGGCTGGGTGGGGGGGTGGGAGGGGTGGGGCTGGGTGGGGAGGGGCTGGTCATCCCGTGGTGCCCTTATAAAACCTACTCACGCCGGCTTGTGCCCGCCCTCACAGTCGGGCATATTGTGCGGAATACACCACGTGGTGCCGTTGTTGACCCTGGCCACTGACCGAGCAACCAACGTTCCTACCAGCCCCCTCCGCAGGAATGTGTTCTTATTTCATAATTTATTATTGTCATCACCACCGACGTCACCATCAACAGTGGCATTAAAGTTCCTGTTTGTTAACTCTGCGTGATTGAACTAATTCTTCATGGCGTCATCCTCTCAAATACCATCATCGTCATTAATGTCACTGTCATCACGGTCGTCATGCCAATCGATCTACGTGTCACTTGGTCTGCGTGCCACCCATTCTACGTGCCACCCAATCTACGTGCCACCCAATCTACGTGCCACCCAATCTACGTGCCGCCCAGTCTTAGTGCCACCCAATCTACGTGCCACCCAATCTCTGTGCCACCCAATCTACGTGCCACCCAGTCTTAGTGCCACCCAGTCTCCATGCCACCCATTCTACATGCCACCCATTCTGCGTGCCACCCAGTCTCCATGCCACCCATTCTACGTGCCACCTAGTCTTAGTGCCACCCATTCTACGTGCCACCCAATCTACGTGCCACCCAATCTACGTGCCACCCAGTCTTCATGCCACCCAATCTACGTGCCACCAAATATACCTGCCACCCAATCTACGTACCACCCAATCTACGTGCCACCCAATCTACGTGCCACCCAATCTACATGCCACCCATTCTACATGCCACCCAATCTACGTACCACCCATTCTACATGCCACCCAATCTACGTGCCACCCAGTCTCCGTGCCACCCAATCTATGTTCCACCCAATCTATGTGCCATCCAGTCTCCGTGCCACCCATTCTACGTGCCACCCAATCTACGTGCCACCCAATCTACATGCCACCCATTCTACATGCCACCCAATCTACGTGCCACCCAATCTATGTGCCACCCAATCTACGTGCCACCCAGTCTTCGTGCCATCCAGTCTTCGTGCCATCCAATCTACGTGCCACCCAATCTACGTGCCACCCAATCTACGTGCCACCCAATCTACGTGCTACCCAATCTACGTGCCACCCAATCTACGTGCCACCCATTCTACGTGCCACCCAATCTACGTGCCACCCAATCTACGTGCCACCCAATCTACGTGCCACCCAGTCTTCGTGCCATCCAGTCTACGTGCCACCCATTCTTCGTGCCATCCAGTCTTCGTGCCATCCAGTCTACGTGCCATCCAGGCTGTGTGCCACCCAATCTACATACCACCCATTCTATGTGCCATCCAGTCTCCGTGCCACGCAGGCTATGTGCCACGTGGAGACTCAGAGTGGTGGGAGAGTTCTATTTGTGTACGCAGTTACCGGTACCGTGATGGCGCAGGTACCCGGCAGATAGCGCTGCGACCCAGAAGCTAGCGCAGGGACTTGTAGCAGAACAGCCTCCACTTCGTCAAGGAGCATCATCCATCATGCAAACTCCGGTCTTCCTAGCAGCAGCTGTTTTTGGTTGACCATTGAACAAAGACAGTGGTCACCGCATCGCGCGCTTTCAAATCCGGTTCTGCGGCCGTCTGGAACGCTCTTCCGATATTAGGAAGCTACTGGAGCTGTGCATTTTTGAATCATCTGAATTAAAAACTAACTAGCCTTTTGCCCAT